GTGCCTGAAATGAAAGAAATGCACTAGTTATTGAGGACGTGTTAAGCTTAAGCTTTGATTATATATGCATTAAAATATATATATTTGAATGTATCTGTACAAATATATACATATGTAAGCAGCATTTTACCTTTGTAGCTGGTGGACGTGGGGCTATATTCCTAAATACTTTAAAGCTGCACATTTTAAAAGCTCCATGTGTAAAAAATGAAAAAGTTAATACATGTTATTAGTCGGGTTGTTTCAGTTGAATGAGTCTATTCCTGTTGCTTGGCTCAGGACCAAGCCACAGGATACACTGTATTAAATGTTCCTGTATAGATTTCATTATGGCTTACTATGAATGGTCAGTACTGCAGTGTAATATAGAATGCATTAGCACTGTCTTCTTTCAATGTACAGTTAAAATTTAGTATGATGCTCCTTAATTAAAATGATGCATTCATTTTAATTAAGTTTAATTAACAAGTTTCTTGAGCCTTTGTACGACTTTTGAAGAAAACTTTTGAAGAAAACAATATTTTGCATAGTTTAAGTTTAAGTATAAGCACAGCTCAATGGCGGAGAAATCAATAATAATTTTTTTCGGATTCAAAATAAAATCTTTGATGCCAATATTACTACACAAGAGTGGAAATGTAAGGAAAGTTTATAGATGTCAATTGGTTGTTTGAATCATAAAGAAGTGAAATATGTTTGCTTCCGAAAGTGTGCATACAATGATCTTATGTTCAGTGCCATCAATTAATTGTAATTGTATGATTCATTATCTGTTTTGTAAATTTTCACAATGTATTTTTATTCTGTGAAACAGGTTGAAAATTAGCAAAACATGTTTTCTTGTATTAAGTTATTTTGCATTAGTTTGATGCTCCTGCCCATTTTAGGTTTGACACCACAGTATTACATACTACAGTATTACAGTGTATTTTGTTAGGCACCCAAAATAACAGCAACAATGAAGCCCTGCAACTCTTCAAATGTAAATAATAGCAGTAAAGAATCATTCATACAAAGTAGTTTCAAAACCATGAAATTCCTCTTTTAGTTTCCACCACTGAAAACTGCCATAATCTCTAAAATATATTATGTGTATCAAATTATCTACCTTTGTGCTGTTATTCGAACGTTATTTTACGATAATCACTTGCAACTAAATCAGCCGTCTGCAATTACCATAATTGTCAGCTGAAATATCTGCGGGATGTGTTTAAGTCAATTACATGCTTTATGGCAGCTATCTTGAATAAATGAAGTAATTCACTTCCTGCTTTTCCCAGTTCTTTCCTTCAGAATGTGTGATGTGGAGCCAGTACAGTAAGAGCTAAATTTTATGCTTTCAGCCACTACTTCAAAAAACCCTATCCCTACTTGCATATTAGAAGCAGGTGTTGTGCAGCACAAAACTGTCAGTCGTCAAAACATGCAATGTTACTGGAACCTCAAAGAAAAATGTTTGAGTGACGAGGGAGTGCAGTGTTGTAGATAAAGTGGGAAAAATGTAGAGATGTTGGGAGATTCTTCGCCACCGCAGCTTCTCCTAACTGGCTTTGCCCAACATGAAACATCAAGGTATTATGTCTATATCTTGTTTAGCAGACGTGAGCACACAGGCAGGCTTAATCCTCAGAGTGCAGCACACTGAGGGAAAAGTGTCTTTATGCCTGCCAACTAGTCTGGATTCCCTCTGCTTGACACTGTGTACTCTGCTCTGCAGTTTCTGGTTGCCAGTTCCTGTAAATTACTTTAAAGTAAGAGCAGAAGGAAGGTGGCTTGCTCTGTTTGTAATTACCGAGCGTTTAGAATTTTAAGAAGTCACCAAATGCAAATGATAGATAGAGCGGAATGTGCGTTGTGCTGCATTACTTCCATATTTGCTCTATAAATGCACATT